TAAGACTGCGAGAACATGTCGTTAGTGAGGAGAGACACACACATATCGTATCGGTTAACCAATTTGTGATGGTGACACGGACACTTATATAGTGTCGATTTTAGTTGTTCTTCATCCTAACTTTGTTGGAGCAGATTTTTGTAAGGAGCAAATCCCTGAAGATAAAGGCCACATAGTATGAACATGCACGAACTTAAAACATCAAGTGAGATATGTAAACGCCATACAATGGAACAGAGGTTGAGGGTTTTTTAACAGTTGACAATTTGAAAATTGAAAGCACCATGTTTGCCATATATTCTAGTAATAAGGCCAGCATATTGATGATATCATCTTCGGTTTATTTGTTTTTGAAATCAGTATGGTTCTTCACATAGTAAGATTTTTGATGACCTGAAACTATATCAATGTATCTACGATTCCCATTTTTTAATACAAAGTTCTGTATAATGAGATGATGTATTCAATCTTTAAATTGTGCATGTGTAATAGTAGTGTAAAACGTAGAATATCAAAAGATTTGATATTACTGCAAAATTATAAAGATTGAGATTTGAGATTTTGTAGTTAATCTTTAGAAAATTCAAGAGTCCACATCTGATTGACAACTACGGTTGAATACACTTCATCACAATATTTCTGAGGGCCATCTTTTACTGGAGAAAAAATGATTGTAAGGACTTTAAAAAGATGTTCAGTCGAACATTTTGACGACCCGGCTATATATCTTTCTTTATAAAGATGTTTGTGAAGTTTATATATACAGTATAAAGATAGGTGATTTCGTCGTCTTTTTTGTATAAGTACTAAAGGAGAGAAGAACAGATTTTGTATTTTCTAAAATCTCCTCTTTTGTGAATGATGTATGGGTGTATGTGGGATTCGTAGTTTTACCAAGTTCTTAAGTAAGACATTGTAAATAATAAGTTTTGCATAAAAAAAAACATATTTCAAGGCTGTGTCAGCTGGATCAATAATATTTGTAGTGAAGAGGATAACCTTTGGTTTCAAAAAAGTGTTAAAAAACCAAGAGCTCATTGTACGTCGTTTTGGAGGCGCTTCTGAATATGTGACCGAACTGCTTTTTGATGTAAACAATTCTGTTAAAACATTTTAACTGACTTATGAAGAGTAATCTCCCTACATAAAAATATATCAACTTTTATCTCCATAAGCATAAATATGGATTATAATTTCGCTTTGTAAACAATACCGTGATAAAATACTCGAAATATATCTATATTTAGACTCAGAGATGTACATAATAATTGCTGTTACAATATACCTCCCACGTAAATCCACATGCACCGTAAGCTATGTGCAAACTCTATGCCGATTTCGCTGTATGAAAATTGCAATTAAAAAATCTACAGAACCTTTATTCTTATTCTAATGCATAACAAAAAGAATTAATGGATTAGAGCTCGGAAAAATGTACAAAATTAAAAATGAATAAAAAGTCGCGAAATTCCATATATGTTGTTAGGCGCATTAAAGTCTTTTCAAAACATGACCTCATATGAATGAAAACGCTCAAACTGAAGGTTCAGGGGTTCAAATTAGCAGTGGTCCGAGGTCCGTGACCTTCCACTGTTGCAATCGGACCTTCGTTTTGGTTACTAGTTATGCCCGACAGACCTTCGATTTGAAAGAAAATAAAAATTAACTGTGCCGACCTTTTTCACCATTAGTATCGTCATTTCAAAGCCATATTATTATTGAAATTAAGATAATAAAATGTTTCATTCCTGACCTTGCCGACCATACACAAGGTTATAAATAGTTGCGATAGGTCACTTGACATTCAGACATTTTCGAACAAAATGAGTTTGTGTCTCATTGGTGTCACGTCTTCGAGGGAAAGCCTGAAGATGATGAACGGTGGGCTTCAACGTCTTCCTTGGGAACAAAACAAATGAAATCAAATGAAGATCTCATTAAAGACCAAAAATACGATCGTGAAAACGGGAACGGAAATTTAAGCTCAACTGAAAATCTATCGACTGTGGCTATATTTTGATGATCGAATCAACTGGTCTAATGTTGTTTATATACTGCCAGAAATTCCCTACCATTCAAAAAATGAAAGTTCACTAGTAAGTGGATCCATGAAAGTGACCCAAATTTTAAGTCTAAAGATTTATTGTCAGACACTAATGTATTCACAAGCAGCAATGTAAGCCTGATCAGTTAAATAGATATAAGGTTTTCTTCAACACTGCATAGTGTTGCAAGAAAGGGAAACCCTTCACTGACTACGAATTTATTCTTGAAATTTATTCAGAGCAAAAATGGTGTTGATGTTGCCACTTTTACATCAATAACAGATTATGGTATAATTGTCAATGATTGAGACAACACACACACACACACACACACGCACTATGACACCCTTCCCAGCACCAAAAAAACAATAGATTGTTGGAATTTATAGTATACAAGACAATTACATTTATTGTTATACATGCAATACCACAGCGACACTGACAGTTTGGTCTATATAGTTGCATGGCAATATATTATTTGTAAACTTGTTAAATACAAATGTATGATGAAACAAGCTAACCTAGCACCAAAAGCACATTAATTTTGTATCTTAATGAGCAATATTTCATGTAAAAGTAGGACCTGGGATTTAGGTTGTGGACCTTTCAGTTTGGATTGTCAAAGGTCCCGGACCTTCAAGTACCAAATGTTAGTTTGAACCCCTGAAGGTTTAACCGTTACGTGGACGCTCCAAATTCGAATAATATTGCATTAAAATGAAGTTTTGAGTTAGGTGTTTTTTTATTTTCTATTTATTGCATTATTCGCACATTTCCTGATTTCATAAAGTCAACATGGCAGCTCCTTAGTTACGAAATGTCAATTTTGGATTTGACGGTAGCTTACGGGGAAAAAAGTAAATTAAGAATAGCAAATATTGGGGTTGAGAATTAACAGAATGAAACATATATTCTCTAGCGGTTATTCAAGAAATAATTCATGCATGCTATAGATTTATTGGATATTTTTAGCTTTATCTAACAGGGAGTAAAATAGAACAGATATACACGGCACATTTACCGTCAGTTTTTTAAAATTATCGTATTTGTCCTATTTTTATCGAAATAAATCATACAAGCGATAGATCTGTTAATATTTTAACATGCCGCGGCCATTATATTCGTTAATTTTATCCCTTTGCTAACGCTCGTGATAAAATTCGAGTATAACGGCCCAGGCCATGTGAAAATTGCCAACAAACCTATGGCTATTTCTAATTCATAACATAACGTTGTCCCAATAAAAAAGATAGCATAACAAAACGTTAAGACTCATATTCCAACACTTAAGGTGGATCATCTTATTAGTATGTATATATTGAACTAATTGGTCGTTGTTGGTTCGCACATTCGAATTTTAAAGACCACATACGTATTTTCTGAGTGTAGCTTAGTTCAATAGTGATTTAATCATTGTCTGCTTTGTTTCTATTAACATGTTATTGAATTCAAAGATGATATATTATACAAATAGTAAACACAACTAATATAAAGCTGTTAGGTTCCTCTTGCTTATGTAGCTGCTGCCGTTTCCTCGTATTAATATGTATTTTTGGCTCTCAAATGTTTGGCTTTGAGCATTCCTGGTGTACAGCGCTTCGGACGCAGGAGATTTAAACGTGCTATTTTCCTTTTTGTAAATTGTTTAGATTTATAGTACATCTTTTAAAAAGACCAGTTATTTACATAAGAAGCATTCCATTGATTTGACCTCCAAAAATATTTAAATATATCGTATTAAGATTTAGAAAAAATTATCAGGTAGTTTAAACCGGACAGGTCTTCTGCATTGAAGCTTTTTGATGAATTAATTTAACAAAGTTATTAAAACTTTTAGACGACTTGTGAAGAGATGTCTTCCTACAAAAAGGTATATTTTAGTCTTAGATGCATGTTGTTACTTTTATTAGTTGTTATTGGCTTTGAACTAGTTGTCAGTAACTGCGAGTACTCTAAGATATGTACTTAATGTCTTTTTGTTGTGGGGATGTATAAATACCCTGCAACGTCCACTCTGTATTTTTGTTATATGTATTTCTGTTTGTATCCATCTGATGAGTTAATCCCTTTTCAACTGATTTTATAGTTTGTTGTACTGTTACCGTCCCAGGTAAGGGGGAGGGTTTGGCGCCCGCTAACATGTTTAACCCTGCCACATTCTGTATGTGCCTGTCAGGAGTCTGTAATTCAGTGGTTGTCTTTTGTATCTGTGTATCATTTTTGTTTTTCGTTCATTATTTTGTACATAAATTAGGCCGTTAGTTTTCTCGTTTGAATTGTTTTACATTTGTCATTTCGGGGCCTTTTATAGCTGACTATGTGGTATATGGGTTTTGCTCATTGTTGAAGGCCGTACGGTTACCTATAGTTCTTAATTTTTGTGTCATTTGGTCTCGTGTGGAGAGTTGTCTCGTTGGCAATTATACCACATCTTCTTATTTTTATTTATTAACCTTTTCCTCCTTTTATACAAGTATAAACATAAAATATTACAAAACGTCGTCCAAAGAAAACATGATATGAGATGCGTAGGATAGAAATCGACCTTATGCACGTGCACGTTTATAAGTTATGTACATGTATAAGACTGATTGATTATGGGGAACATTCAAATGCAAAATAAAGATTAATTTTGGTCTGTTTTGTAGGGTTCTTATAACAGCTTAAACAGTTACAGACTTTACATAAAGATTTTCTCTTTTCAAAATAAGTTAACAGATGTATTGATATTCATTTGCATAAGCCGACTCAGCTCATATAATAACAAATCGTTAAGACTTCTAAATTACAAAAAAAAATCATATTACCGACGCTAAATAAATGATCAAAATTGAAATTACAAAACAAAATCATATTACCAACACTTAATAAATAGCATCTAATCTTCTGTTCATCTAATTAGTATGACTATTTTGTGTTAATTTAAACGTCTATATATTACATCAAATGTTCGTTTCTAAGGACGTAACATCTAAAATGATAGAAGAGCAGATTGGAATGACTTGTTCACGAGAACCTACAATCGGAATAACAATTACTTGTATGAATATTGTGCGGAGTCTATTTTGCAGATTAATGGCCATTTCTTTAATTATAAAAAATTATACAAATTTACAGAGGTGAGTTTGATAATTATAGCATTTTTTTCTAAATGATAAACTATACAAATTGCAACCATTTCTAAGCTATGAGACATGGTATTGTTATGTCATTAAGGTTCAAGTCATAATAAGTTGCTTACATGTATAAAATCTGCAACAGTGTTTATCTATTTGATAGTCTTTTTTCTCGTATTAACGTCAATTTACATATCAATTCATAAATCAGTTTCAATATTAAGACTCATCATTAGTTAGTTTGGTGTTTGAAATCATCCTTTTCCTCTGATTAGCAATTTGCCTTGAAATAAAAATTGTTCCTACTAAAATGGCGATAAAAATACGAAACTAAATCATATAACCAACACGTACCTCAATGATATTTCCTAACTCGGACTTCTCTTAAACTGAGTTTTACTGGGCGTACTGTTGTACGTTTGTTTTTTCTACATTGGCTAGGGGTATAGGGGAGGGTTTAGTCCTATAATATAAGACTTCGGAGTTTCATATCATTTACATTCAACGTTTTTTATCGGATATTTTTTTTTACTATCAATGTTGAAATTCGGGTTTCAACATTGATAGTAAAAAAAAAAATCCGATAAAAAACGTTGAATGTAAATGATATGAAACTCCGAATTCTTATATTATAGGACTAGGGGAGGGTTGAGATCTCAAAAAACATGTTTAACCCCGCCGCATTTTTGCGCCTGTCCCAAGTAGGGAGCCTCTGGCCTTTGTTAGTCTTGTATCATTTTTAATTTTAGTTTCTTGTGAATAATTTGGAGTTTAGTATGACGTCCATTATCACTGAACTAGTATACATATTTGTTTAGGGGCCAGCTGAAGGACGCCTCCGGGTGCGGGAGTTTCTCGCTGCATTGAAGACCAATTGGGGGCCTTCGGCTGTTGTCTGCTCTATGGTCGGGTTGTTGTCTCTTTGACACATTCCCCATTTCCATTCTCAATTTTATGTATTCCCCATATATATTTTACGTCTATTTCTAATTTTTTTTTTTAAAAGCATGCTTTCATAAGCAAAGCATCTTAGCAGAATTGATAATTACGTACGGAATTTGATAAAATAATTATTTCCATCAATCGGTTTCTTACACACATTTAAAGATGCAATACATTTGAGGACATTTTAGCAAATATTCACACGATAGACCAAACTAATCTAAATTACTTATATTAATCCAAAGTACATCTTTAGCATTATCTTTTCGCATAATGGAATTATCTTTTGAACATGATTAACACAAGAATTAAAATAAGCATGGAATACAATTATTAAAGATTTTGCAGGCGTGCTTGAGGTAACCTTTCCCGTTTTCCTTAACTTGTCCGTTGTCCAGCTCTTCTCTATTTGACAGTGTGCATATGCAAATTCCCAAACGTAGAGTTATATAAAGACCTACACACAGGATGCAGGTTTTCAGTGACTCGAGAAGCTGATGTCATCACGACTTCCCTAAGCAGCCGCATATATAGTTAACCTATATCGTCTCGGAAGAAAACAACTCTTTCTCTCCGTCTATGAAAGCCTTACGAAATTCAATCTCTCATTTATCTATCAAATGATGAAAAATGAATATGTATCGCATCACTTATAGTGCAACCTTTTTCTTATTTTTTTGTTCTATGTTCCGATTCATGTACAATTAAGACATGTGGCGTGATTACCAACGAGTCAACTATCCAAGCGTGGCCAAATAAAGCAGATCAAAGCAGCTATCATAGTTCACCGTACGGCTTTCAACAATGAGCAAATCCCATACTGCATAGTCAGCTCTAAAAGGCCTCAACATGACAAAATGTGAAACAATTCAACATACTTGGGACTGGCACTTAAAGAATGTGGTGATAATATTTTCATTTACGGTCATTGAAATACCCTTCTTGTTACATGCCGTTGCTAAGAACATTAGATAAAAATTGATACGTAACTTTTTCTTGTAAGTATAGTATAGATTTTAGAAAAAGACATTTTGAAGTATTTTTTAAAAAGATTTCTTCTAACGGAACAATTATTCTTGAAATGTAAATTGTGAAGAGTCTATGTTTTACCATCTCTTACATGTATATGTAAACAGATTTACGCAGATGTGTTTGACTTATTGGTTAGATTGTTTTTTTATAATATCATTTATTTTTGTGGATTGAGAAAGATAGTATTTTCGAGGATATTATTTCGTGGTTTTGTCAAAAGATAGCATATAAGCCTGTAGAAAGTTTGTACTTCCCTGACCATTTAAATTCGTTGACCAGCTTCACACACTAAATCCACGAAAATTGTTATCTGACGAATAATGATGAGTAAACAGTATCTGATTTGGCCTTCCAGCTGTTTTGGTTCAAGTTCTTTTGAAGAATCTTATATGAGGGTATGGATGGGGGTCCTTAATTTCTGTATTCTTTAATTTTTTTCGCTCATTATTCTTTATCTTTTAAAATAATGGCTATTATGTAATGACTTGATAACTGTATTCTGGACATTGCTCTTTTCTGTAATCAGTATATTCTTACCAAATCCTTTAATTTTTGCAGTTATTCTTTATATTTTAGCACCCCATTATTCTCTATTCTTTATTTTTTCCCCATTTTTCTCTATTCTGTAAACCCCATCCACATCCTCTTATATGGACGAAACGCGTGTACCAAATTATAAGCCTGATATTTTGTTTTAATTATTAAAATACTTGCCACTGGACGATAAGCAATCCGCAATCAATCAATTAATTAACGGCTTTATTGCACGAAATGATAATTGTTTTAATTATTTTTTTTATAATTTTCTTATATTTTAATTGAAAATAAAAAAGAATGAGTAATCACAATTAAACTTGAAGTATTAGATAGATGAAATAGAAGATTGCGTACATCGTATTCATTTTTCTAATCTACATATTTTTGATTTATTTCCGATAATTCAAAATTATCATTTGAAAATATTCGGGTAACATTGAACCTGTGAAATTTTATTTTCAACTTCCCCTGGTTGACGTTTCTTCTAATAATCAAACATTACAAGATTATAAGACCCCCAACCCCCTCCTAAAAACAAAAAAACATAAATAATCACTCAAAAACCGTGTTGCTTTCATTGAAATAAGAAGAAATGTTTGGTTTATGACTTTCTTGTATTATTGATTTGATATTTGTATAATATCACATCAATAATACAAGAAAGTCTTTGATATACATTGTATTTTTATGCACATTGTAATCTTCAATGTGTTGATTTGCATGACCCGGCACTTATTTTGGTTTAAAACGCACAGGAATAGCGTTATCAATAGTGTTACCAGAGTGTGGGAACGGAACTGTAAAAAGTTTTAAAACTTTTGTGTCATTCGGGAGACTGTTAATCGAGACTCCTGCATTCGAAATAACTCACAGCAGCTGAGAAGGTAATTGTTTTTCGTAATAATTAGCTCTGATGCTTACTTGCAATGCATATAAGTAAATGTTTATACCTGTCATTAATATTTTAACAATCCGGGTTGATGAAAACATTCTTAAGGCAAGACATTAAGGAAAAATATTGAAATAAAACAAAAAGCTCCAACCCAAATTAGGCAAATGGTTATGTTCATTCGGGTTATATTTAGACTATAAAAGGGTTTTTTTTCTAAAATGTCAAACTTTATAATACAATTAATATATAGTTTTTCCTCAAATTAATCAGCACTAAATAATCATTGAAAATAGTGCTAACTTTTTTTTAAACCAAAGTCCGAGATACTAAATAATTTTCACTGTACGGTCGCTTGTCGGTAAACAACGTTCGAGCTTGGAGCAATTCTGTATTGTCGCTTGGGAGCATTTTTGCTAAATTTTTCATAAGAAGGGTCGTATTAACTATTGTCTTAATTCAAAATTTCCTTTAAAAAAGAATATCATTAAATTAAATTAAACCAACACGGATTTTATCATCACTGTAATATTTATACCATTATACAGCTGTCTATACACACACACACGGCTAGATGTATAGGGGGAGGGTTGAGATCTCACAAAACATGTTTTACCTTCGGCTGTTGTCTGCTCTTTGGTCGGGTTGTTGTCTCTTTGACATATTCCCCATTTCCATTCTCAATTTTATACAATATATCTTTTTTAACTATCCTTTGTTTATTCAAACATCCTTTTCTACTTCAAGGTATAAATAGAGAAGACCTTATCATTTTTACAAGTGTACACTCACACACATGTAAGGTTAACATTGACATCAACAAAGAAGATTACAAATACTGATGCAAGTGCACTGGTAGGTGACGAATTTCTTAAAACGACAAGAAATAAAAAAAAATATAAAAAACCGACTATAGTCTGATAGACTGATAGTGAGTCATTCTCCTCTTTCACTTTCATTTTTATCTTTTCAATAGAATTATTTTGCCAAAAAGTTGGGTAGGGGACAAAAACAAAAGAAAACAGGGCTTTGGCTTTAGTTAGGGAGCAACCATTTAACTGCAAGAGGGGGTGGGGGGAGGGTATGGTTTTTTAAATGAGTCAGAAATTTCTTTTATAGTTTTTTGACGCTATCAATCAAATTATTTTTTTCAAAATTTATCACTATAAGGTATAGGAAACCTGGATTCAGAATATTTTTTTTTGTCATCTGCTTGACCACAATATTTTTTTTCATCAAATTGGGGATTATAATATTTAGAAAAAAAAAACCATAACCCCCCCCCCCCCCCCCCTTGAAGTTAAATGGTCGTTCCTTTATATCTGATTGATAGTAAGTCGATGCATTACTTTTCGGAAAATCCTGCGAAAATAGTAGATGGAATTCAATTTTCAATTAGGTTTTGGAGAGTATGATGTTGGCGGGGATGTTTTTTTTTTTTTCCTTCTCAGCGTTCAAATTTACTATCCGTTTTTTATATGAAGTAGTTATAAAATCGCTTTTAGAAAAAAAATAATAATTATCTATAAACTTTATTTATTTATATAAAAGGGACCAAAATTCAAACTTTTTATTGGTTGAGTTAGCCTTTTCAGAATCTAAA